ATCTCTAGCTTCTGGCTGTTGCATATGAGACAGGCAGTGGGCTTGAATAATCACTGACCATGCTTCTTATGATGATATGTTGAATTGATTTGCATCATATAGTAATCTCTCTCTCTCTCTCTCTCTTGTTAGTGTGTATGCACGCACGGCATGTATGGGCCTCCATGCCTTTAGTAACAAACACCAATGAAGGCAAATTTTACCACGTGCACATATATCATGCATCAGTGTATAGTAAGGTGTTCTGCAATTCCATTGGTAGAAATCGAGTATTTTAAATGGGGATGCAGATGTTCTTACGGTCATAAGTTAGAGTTGGAGACTCCCATGTGTAATAACCAGCTTTAAATTTTCAGGTATACTTGATCCTGGATGAATTTATACTTGCAGGGGAGTTGCAAGAAACTAGCAAGAGGGTACGCTTAATAAATATTCATGTCTTTTGTGGTTTTTACCTTTAATTAATTGATTAGCAACTTGGTTTATAATACAGTGCTGAAGCAATTTCTAAGGCCTATTTCTTTTTATTGTAGGTGATCATAGAGAGAATGGGAGAGTTGGTAAGGCAAGAGTGAGAAGCACAGTTTGAAGGGCTAATGTAGAGGTTTGGGTGTGTTTCATCCTTCTACTGGTATCCATCATGTATTTTGCGTTCATTTGATTTTACTATTTTGACTGATTTCATGTGCCTTACTGTTTTTAACCAAGTTTTGGAAATCGATTTCATTCTATCCAATTTATGGATCTTGTAACATCCACAAGCCATGTCACTGAGCATGGCCTTTGTTTTAGCTTGCATCGAAGGATCATGACCATTGGGCACGGGATGCCAAAGCCTGTAACCCATCTTTTTAGGGTGAGAAAATGCAAGAAAAGGGGCATTTCCTTTGTATGGCTTTAGTTTATTTCAAGATCGGCCAAGTTCAACATGGGCTTGTTATAGTTATAATTAGATTTGGATAAATCGAAATTGCGATTGCAAATGAAAACAAAAATTTTCATTTGGTTTCAATAACATTTTCGTGGCCTCGGAGAAATCTGTTATGATAACAACTTAGGCAGTTTGTTCTTGGAAATTCTAGTTCCTAGGAACATCATTATGAAATGAATAAACTCTGTGATCTCTCTGTACACAGTGAGGCGAGAAAAAGAGAGTTGAGAGCATTAACAACCTACTATTGAGAGAGGGAGATAGAAAGAGAGAGTATTAAGAACCTACTATTAAGAGAGAGAGTGGGGGGTATGAATAATAGACTACTATCATGAGAGAGAGAGAGAGTGAGTGGATTAGTAATGGAAGATTATTGAGATTTTAGACTTTGGTGCAAGCGTCAGTAGGACCTTGGAATTTACTTTTAACAGTTGTTCTTCTGCACTAGTTTTTGGTACTAGGTGTAGAATGTTGATTCACTAGCTACGCGTTCTGTAATCTTTCGGACAAGGCGATCTCAGTAAAGAGTTGTTTTTAATTTCACTTGGACTTACCTTTCTTAAAAAAAAAAAAAAAAATAAGAAAAGCTGATCGGAGTTTCTTTCATAAGGTTCTGATGATGATGATGATAATGAGTTTATCTCTCATGGCGATTCTTAGGGCATGAAGAAGGGAGTTACACAAACTGCATTCATTTGTTGAATACTCAAATCTAGTATGGGAGGGACGATCAAGCTTGAATCAAAACCCAACCCCTTCTAATCCTCGCGTACTGCTTTTGAAGAGATGGTAGCATTACAAAGTTTCTTTAAAAGTAGGATGAGGTTTCTATAAGGCTTAGGGTTTATGAAGGCAAAATAAAGCCACACCTCAATTCCTTACTTGGAAAGTACTTTTGGGGATGAAAATCTCTACGATAGCTCTAAAATCAATTTCCAATATCGATAATAAAATTTGAAACTAAAAGAAAAGTAAATAACTCGTGGATCTTTGAGTATTTATTTTTAAAGCAAAATGGACGGTCTAGATAGTTTTTTACAATATACGTCATTTTTAGAGTTTGAAATTTTTTTTTTTTTCAAAACCATAATATTCAAGTCAAGATGATTGCTGTAAGGTTTTCCCATGCTTGACTTCCAATTTTTTATGAGTTATAAGGAGAGGATTTACTTAGGTTGCAGCCCTATCAAACCATTTTCCTTATACATATGCAGCCAATACTAACATATTCTTTGCCCTTTTTTCTTAACGGAACAGTACGATCATGCGTCTAAATTGTAAATCTGGTTCTATGGATCAGTGATCCAATTGGCGATACGGTCTATGGAACAGAGCATTAAAAATTTAAAAAAAGCTCAAAAAAAAAAAGTGGACCTAGTTTTGGTCATGTTCTTTGAAAAAAAGAGATGTGTCAACGGGGATCTAGCTGGTTTTGTATCTCTCATGGGAATCCGTTCGTCCCAGACGATTGTCAATCCAGATTAGCCAGTTTCAATCCAAATCGACGTTCTTTCAAACATTGATTAGGACTCATCTCTATGAGAGCCAAAATCCCATAAGATTGATTAGTCCAGATTGTGCTTCTCCTCAATAACCACCTCTGTAACTTTACTTTTTACCAGAAACTAACTTCTAAACTGAAATGAACTTCTATAAAGAATGGGAGTGGTGCAAATTAGTGCAGTAGAATTTGGATCTTATGCAGCGGACTTGGGAGTTGGGGAAGTAAAAGCAAAGTTTTTTATTTATTTTATTTTATTTATTTTTATTTTTATTCAACTTTAAACATGGAAAATAAAAGCACAAGGAATACGAAGTTTTGATATGGACTTGTATTTCTGTGATTTATCCACATGGGTTTACAATAAGGGCAGTAAGGTTTGCTCTAATGTAAAAATCGTGTGGGATTATAATTATAGAGTTCTCAGTTTTTTTTCCCTTTTTTTTTTACAACCGAGAGATTAAAGACACCTTCGAAAACGTGTTTGGTGAGCCAGTCTCAGTAAAGTATTTGTTGAGTCAGTCGACCCATGTGGGTTTGCCCTCTCAAATCCCT